TCACATTGGCTTTTTGAATGTGCAAAGCCACCCAAGAATGGCTTCCTCTTGGCTTCCCTAAAGACAAGCGAAAAGGATACCCTCCCAAAACGACACTCTCATATAGAACGCCAAAAAAAGAAATGCACCCTAAAAATGCACAGCAGGTGATGTCTGAATCAGCCCAAAAGGGGATTCTAAGGAACCACGTGCAAGGGTGGCTGAAGCCACCGAATGAAAACTCGCTGAATAAGCACCTCTCCAAAACCCCCCGAAAATGGTTGAAATCCAAGGCGTCCTCTTGCCTTCCATTTGAAGCAGCCCGAACAAGTGAGCTGACTCCAAAAGCGTTCACACCCAGGTAGGCCATCTTAATAGCTATCCTAAGGGAGGTGGCTTGCCTCTCGCCTCTGGCCTCTTGCTTCTTGCTTCCTGCTTCTTGCTTCTTGCCCAGTTTCAGGGGGGAATCCCATCATTTTGGTCGACAAAGACGTCTCCGATGATGCAAATGTCAGCCCAGTTCGAGTCCCTCAAAGGTATCAACATGGCTCGAGGAGAATTTCTTCGCTTCCCCCCCCCCCCCCCATTTCGCCCCCCCAACCCCCCACCCCAGTTTTCCAACCTTCGGGAGCCCCCCTTTGGACCCAAATGGCCCTTCCCCACGAGCCCAAGCCGCCGTGGCCTTCTCAGACCCCTGGTTCTTCAGCAGCTTCTCACCTCGGCGCGGCTTCTGCCCATGTGGATGTGGGTCAAAAAGCCGGAAGTCCAAAATGGCTTGCCCTGGTAAGTGGAAACATGGTACCCAAAGTGGAAACAGGGCAAGTGAAAATAGGCAACCAAAATAGGGTAGATTGGACCTTGTGGGGTCAGAAATGGGGGTAACCCCAAAATAGAATCCTGGTAGACGGAAAATGGACGAAAACCTGCGGTCCCCTGCGGTTGAATTTTGATTTATACTTATGTGACAAACTTATGTGGGTCGATCTTGTTCGGAGTCTCGGTACCCATTGTGTGGGTTCTTGGCTTCAGCTTCGTTGAAGGAAAAGATGGAAGATGGAAACCTGAGACACAGCCATGGGTGGAATGGCTTCAAGCCTCGTTTGAAAGGGAAAAACCGCAACCGGAACCCGGAAAACACTGAGACGGCCGTGGTGCACTGGTGCTTCCTTCGCTCCCTCACCTGGGGCCCCCCGCCCGAGGTCGGCCGCGGGCTGTCCTGCTTGTGGCTCTGTTGGCAGCCCATGGCTTCGACCGCGTCGACCGCGCCGACCGCGCCAAATCGGAACACAGAGGCTGGAGGGTTTAGCCACTTGGAGGTGAAGGACGTGTGTCTTTCTTTGAACTTGCTTCTCTTGCTTTGCTTATGTTGCTTTTGAGCCAAAGATTCACGGAACCTTTGCTGTGCGAAGCCGACCCTTCCGACTCAGCTTGTTGGTTACCAGAGTTACCAGATCTTCCAAGCCTTGAACAAAGGTACACTGAAGTTCATAGACTTCACAGAGGATCTGCTTTTCAGCTGCTTTCAGGCCGCGCCGGAGCCTTAATGCTGCCGGCGCGTTTCGCCCAAAAATTCGCCTTGAGCCGAGCCAGCGGGGTTGACAGAGCGATTCGCGGAGACTAAAGCGAAGCTTCGAATGGCCAGGCCCACAGCGGATTCTGGAAAGCCCCCAGCCGGCTCCCGCTTGCTTCCTTCCAGGGAGCAATCAACTGAACTCTTGCGTGTCTAGAGTTTCATTCAGGGGTCCCTGACCATCCCTACCCCAAGGGGTTGATCGTGGCGCATGCGTCCCAGTGGAGATGCCCAGATTCTGCTTTGCCCGAGCGCCTCTATCTTGGCTCAAGGAGGAATCGTTGGTTATGCATCAGGCATGACATGTGGCAATTGGGTCTGTCATTTTTGGGGGACCGCCCAAAAATGGTGTTCCTTTTGGTTTTCCCTTAAACCCACCAAAAAAGCTACCCTCCAAAAAGACAGACCACACCCAATCCAACTGGCAAAACGAAGCCAATGTCCAATGGATGCAATACAAACAAAGCCTTCCAATGCACAACATGCAGTGCGAACTCGCGATGCCGAGTGGGTGGCGCATTCCATTTGAACTCCCTTGAGAACCCTCCCCGAGTGCGCCGAGCCTCAAAAAAAGACATGCGCTAATGCATGTTGGCCGACTTGTTGGTAGGGCTGCCCTTGGTATTGATCACTTTGGATTTGTGCTTGCCTCTTTGTGTGTGTGTGTGTGTGTGTTTCCATCCCCTTTGTCGGAGGAAGCACCCCTCGTTGACCACTTTCGCGTCAGACATCCCCAGCCTCACCTCCTCCACCCGCCCAGAAGTGAGAAAAGAGAAGAAAGAAGAGAGAAGAGAAAACAGAGAGAGAGAGAGAGAAAGTGGGGTTTACAAACAGTGCGTAAACAACCGGATCGTGGGCCCTTTTGAAGGGCAACCAAAGGATGATTTAAGCAATGGCGGCTTGGATCTGTGAAAATGCGAACTTGGCCCGGCCCTCGCTTCCATCCAACCTTTCTCCCCAAAGTCCAGTCGCCCACATTTGCCCGGACCAACCTTGCTTTCCGCGACCACCAGGCACGTCAGCGCGCAGAGCGGGTAGGCGCCTCCAGTCATGGGTCCGAACATAAAACAGCTAGTCTTAGCTTCCTTTGACGACCATTCGCTTGTGTGCTGTTCGTTTTACCAAGGGGTTGACCATTCATGTTTTCCTCGATAGTATGTTTGGAGACGTCCTCACCAGTAGGGGCCTCAACCGACCGATACATGAGCTCTTGCGGCGTCCTTGTGGCAGGCCCAGCGCCAAGAGTGAGCATATCGAGCAGCGGAGCAAGGGGGTCGCGTGTGAGGTTGCATCCATCAACTTTTTTCCTCACATAGAAACAGATATTGCTTTACCAAACAACTCAAGGGTGAAACTCATCACATGGAAACTCATCACATGGAAACTCATCACATGGAAACTCATCACATGCGGTTCTCCGCTCAAAACTAGGGAGTTCATGGCCCTAGCAACCATCAAGTGCAAGGGTGTTTTGACCATTGCGCAAGCCAGCTACGTTCAGACCCTTGAACAAAAGGTTTGCAGGGTTCCGTACATTGCCTCTTAAATGCCTGAAAGGGTGGACCAAACTCTTTGTGTCGGTCGTGGCCATGGTACATACAAGGTGTGCTGACCATTGCACACCTTGTGTAGGTCCATACATGAACCAATGGCCAGTTGGAACCCCAAAGCCGGGCTGATTTCCTATAGTTAAGCCATACCTAACCGTTAAGCCCGCAACCTAGGGGTCATACCAAGGGCTCATACATGGACGTACGCATTCAGCCTTTGACATCTGGAGGCCTTCCTTTCTCCCCTTATCTGCCCGCCACGGCACAGCACGAGAGTCCTGGCAGCGGGGTGAGGGGGCAAAGGGCCAGCCATGATTCAAAGATGTCCCGATTCCCGCCATGCTTTAGCAGAAAGCGGTTGGTCTCAGTTTGCAACCCCCACCAGAAATGAACGGAAACAAAAGATAAAAACATTGTGAGGAAGAATTGCGATACGTCTTAAGTGTCAGGCATTCCTCCAAAAGTCGCCAATCGCCCCCCCCCCACACTTACCACCACCACCCACATCCACCCACCCACCCTCTCCCAAACACGCGGAGCCTGTCCTGTGTTGGGGTGGTGGGGGCAGGGTTCTTGCCCACAAACCCAAAATCCGAGGGGGCGAGGAAAATTTGCCGTTTGCCGGGGGGGGGGGGGGGGAAGGGGGTGTGTGCCATGGACACAAAGCAAGCGGTTAATCCTAAGCCCAGGTGGCATCCCCAACAACCCTTCTGGAACCCCAAAATCCCCGGAACCCCTCCCCCCCCCAGCGCAACTGGCGAAACCAGCGGCGAGGGTGGGATGCCCGGTCCGAAAAGACCGAGGCCCAGCACTCTGAAGGCCCACCTGGCGCTCTCTTTGAGCCCAAAAAACCCGGCGAAACCAACAAATGTTGAGCTTGGGGCAACCAGCTTCTTGAAGATCTTTGAAGAGCTATGGTTCAAACGCCTCCAGTTCAAGCCCGGCTACGGCCCAGAACTTCGGCTTACGGATCACACAGATCCAGTGGCCTCAAGAGGGGCCGCAAGAAAGAGTATCAACTCAGAGGAGTTGGGCGCCATGAGGTCCTTTGGCCTTGAGGTGGCAATCATGCCACCAAGCTGGAACAAAATCAGGTGCTTCCGCACAATTTGCTCGGCTTGGGGATCCCCTTGAATTTCATCGATACGGGTCTGCAAAGTAGACTGCTTTCGGTTTTGGCTCCGAAGGATCGGGGGCTACAAGTCCGCACTTTTCTCCGAGATCAGCCGTCGGCCAAGAGTGCTTGGGCCCACATGGCCCAACGTGTCAATTGAGTGCCATCAGGGGGCCGGAACAACCCATAAAACATAAGATTTATTTAGGGAGTAGCCCCCGTAAGTTGCTTCCTGCCAGCAAAGGCACTTATCCCCATAAGAACTCCCGTGGCACCCTAACCCTGCAAACAAAACAATGGCCTCCCGCTTTGGGAGGCAAACGAGGAATAAAAGAAGAAGAAAAAAAAAAACACAAGGAAACTGCCCCACATCACGTGAGGCAACAAAAGGGCTATGAATAGCCGAAGGCCCTGCCCGCTGCGCTCAGCCGCAGCCGCACTCATGGCAACAAAGGTTTGCCGGGGATCAAACGATACGAAGAGGTAGGAAACCCTTGCCTTTGGGTGTAGAGCAAGACCCGTGTTCCGTGGGCCGAGTCTTAGCTGACAAATGGGAACCCCTGAAGCAAGGACCCTGCAACATCGCCAGGAAACCGGTGCAAAATGACTCAAAAGGTAATGCTGGATCATGCAAAAGCGATATATTTAAGCCAGAAAAAGGCAACCTCTGCCCAATGGTGGGAAACACGCTGCGGATTAACATGGAACCAAACATCGGTCCGTTTTGAGGGATCTCCTGGGAAATGGTTCGCCCTTTGCGGCCAAGTGGGGAATTAAACTTGAAACCCGCCCGACCAACCTTCAAAAGTAAATTTCGGATTCAAACCCTCCCAGTTGCTCAAAGGACTCAGTCATGACAAGTTCCCCGTTTGGGGTCATGACTAAGAATGGAGCAAAATTGGAAAACGAAAAGGTCAAAAGATCGGCTCTGGCCATATGAGAGTTTATTTGTTCATCATTCCTCAAGACTGCCCTCAACATGATGGAGAGAAAATCCACCCAGTCATTTTGAGAAGCCAAAAACAAAGAAGAAAAACAACTTCAATGGGCCCTGCGGAATTCCATCGTGAGAAACTGTAAATCCTCAGCTTTCTATTACCGTGTTCTTTCCTGACTGCTTGTAGCTCCCAAATGGCTCCCTCTTTAAAATAAATATTACCCCTAGCTCCGAAAGGCTCCCTGGCGGCCACCAGCTGGTTGAACGCGGTTAAACAGCTAGGGAAAAAAATGGGCTTCCCTTCTCGGTCCACTAGGGGTCACTGGCTTCCACTAGGTGCTCATGGGGTTCCACTGAAGCTGCTTCTAATCACGGAGAACTAGCCAAAACATAGGCGTCCTTTTACGGGAAATAGATGGGTTTCCCTGGTAAATGGAATAAAATCCAGGTAAACCAGGAATCACCCAACCTATCTTTTCTAGCAAAACCACCAAAAACGACACCTATGCAAATGGATGGCCCTGGAAAATGGAAGAAGACCTATCTGAACCAGTGCCATCTATTTTCAACCAATAACCTATAAAGGACACCTATGATCCAAAACCCGTCGCTTCCTCCGCGAGGCGCTCCGTTCACTAGGCGAGTCGCTGGCCGCTCTTGAACTCCGGGCCGGGCAGCGGCAGCACCGCCAGCAGCGCCAGCGGCAGCTGCAGAAGGCTCAGGCAGCCTTCGGAGACGCGAGTTTGAAACTCAGGGGATCCGCTAAAATCGCGGTTTTCCGTTTCGCTCCCCGTTTAAAAAACAAGCAAACAAACAAACAAACAAACAAACAAACAAAAAAACAAAACAACAATCTAGAGCCCTCGGGAAAAAAAGGCGCCCCCACGTGAGGGCTCGTCTCAACTCAAACACTTGTTTTTTTCCCTCCGTGAACAACAGAAAGGCAGGGCCCTGACGACCAAGACCCAACAAATCATCTGGTTGTGTTCCTGTGGGGCCTAAAACACACGAACAAAGCAAACCAAACCAGAACAAACCAAAATACAGCAAACCAAACCAAGCAAGCAAGCAAAACAAACAAAACCAAGCAACCAGCAAACAAGCAAACCAACAAACAAAACAAAACGAACTATCAGGGGACGCCCCCCCCCAAAAAAAAAAAAAACAACAACAACAGCTTTCCTCCAAAAGGGGCATCCTGCAATACACACAAGGGAGGTGTTTTGGGGGGAGGTGTGCGTGTGGTAGGTAGGGCCGTAGGCCCGCCATTCACAGAAACCTGAGCTGGACACAGTCCCATTTTGATCGTTGTTGGATCAAAAGAGGATTATGTCAATGTGCTTTTGTCTCAGGATCTAGGTCTTTGCTGCTTGGATTGTGGCTTGCGGCTTCATTTGCAACATGGGAGCGAGCTCGCTGTGAGCATCGCACTCCCATTTTGCTAGCATTCCCAAGCAGTCTGAATCTGGCCAAACTGCTAGAAAGCCCATCCTTTCTCTTGAGTCATAGCATTGACCCCTCCTCCCCCGACCTTAAGTCATGGGTTTATTTTCCCACCCCCCACCCCCCACCCACTTTTGGACGCAACGTTATAAACTTCATGTGAGTCCAGGTGAGTCCTTGATTTCTGCACCCATGTCCTTGGAGGCGGAAAGAAAAAAAACGGGAGGGTCTTGGGGGAGGGTTCAGAGAGCCAGGCGGCAGCACAGCTGCGAAGATCGGCTCGCCGCCGAAAGAAGCAGCGCCATCCGTCGGACACCCGCGATGGCGTGTTGTTTTTTGTTTTTTTGTCGGTGTCGCGGAGTGGGCGTTTCTGAGAACCCAGGCCAAAACAAGCTCTCAAACTGTCAAACCACCATTTGTTGGAAGGGCGAAAGGAAAAAAAACTGAACGCATCATGGTGGATAAATATGGGGATTTCCCCCCCCCCCCCCCGCCAAGAAACAAAAAAAAAAGGAGTCAAACAATCCCTTCCAATGGAGAAATCAGAGATCTGTCCAAGACAAAGAAAGCTTAGGCCCTAGTCACCCTATTGGCCCAATTGGGCGCGATCAGCAACGTTTGGCCTACTGGTATTCCAGCACAGCTTTGAAGCCCCGCTTGAAACACAAAAGAGTGCTCCCTGCGGCTCTGGGAATTGTAACTGGGAGAACGCTGGCAAAGCTTCACTTCAAGCGGGGTTGGCTGTTCCGACTCCAGGCTCAGTGGCCGGAGAACCCTCATTCCCACTCTGAGGATCATACTTTGGCTGCCGAGTTCTTTCCAGGCACACACGCGCTGTGGCTCAACCCAGGCCTGGTCAAAAAGTTCAGGCCTCCAATAGGGCATCAACTTTAGCTCCGGGCCAAAGAAACCTTCCTGACACTTTGGTCAGCTTGGAGCCAAAGCGCCCAGAAAGCACCTGCCGGTTGCCTGAAAGGCTTGCTCCTAAGTCTCCGGGGGAATGAGGTAAGTGTAGTCTTCGGGGAACGATGGTGGGCGTCTGGAAGGAAAGACCTGCTCCAAAAATGCAGGTTTCCCCAAATCATGGCCAACCCCCAGGCTACGGTGCACTATGCGTTTGTTGTTCGCCCATGAGATGTGTTCTGAACAGACCCCAAATCCTTTTGAATTCTTGCTCCAAAGCATCCGCAGGGGTCCCGGACCATTTGCCTGCTACCTTGGTCAATCGAAGCTAAAGCAAGCCACAGATCGTGGGCATCTTGCGAAACCAGGCGTCCGGTTTAACGGCTCAGCAACCAGACCGCATACCCAAGCACACTTCGCACTTGGAGACTTCCACCACGTGCCCAACTGAACCCACTGACTCGTGACCCGCCAGGCTGCCGTATTCGCAGCACAGCCGCCCGGGCACCACGCGCTCCAGTACCTCAGCCGAAGTGCTTCGCCCCAAAGGGCGCTGGTGCTCACGCCCCGAAAGGAGCCTCGAAAAGGCTTGCGCTTCCGTGGGGCGGTCTGGTGAGTTGCAAGGACCAGGGGTCCAATTTTCAAGCCACCCAGTTTTTGGAGACCGCGCGGGAACAGCGTAAAAGTATAGAGGTGGGAACAGAATGCTGCGTAGGAACAGCGCGAATTAGGGGGTGTTACTGACAATGCTGCCGATGATTGGGGTTACCTGCGCTCTTGGGCAGACGTGTGGGAATCGCCCACTTTTGAGGTCAACCCGTTAGACACCGGCTGCTGGGCCGATACCCCCCCTCCGCGCTCCGCGTGGGCTCGAACCTTTCCCAACCGCTGCATGAGGCGAGCGAGCTGTTGTTTCGCAGCCTTCGGTAGAAACAAGCGAACCAAAAGGAAGGAAGGCCACCGCAGCTAGCGCCTTTTGAACAGTGAAGCATCACGTGCTAAACAAAGGGGTCTGGAAACAAAAAACATCCGTCCGCTTTCAGTTCCCCCCTGTAAGGAAAATTGCAACAAACCACGCGCTACCCAAGCGAATAAACCCAAAAATTGTCGATCGACTACTTTTAAACGATGCTATATTTCCCTTCCGTATAATTTCCAGCGCAGTAGCCTTCAAACTGCACGATTTTCCAGTCGAGCCGACCAACTGACGCGCGACCCGAGTGAAACTGCCACGAGGACCCGGTGGGCCAAGGTTGGTCGAGCTTGAGGACCCCATCTGGGTGTATCTCAAAGAGAGCGGCCCGCCGTGGGGCCTGCGTTTTTGATATCAGCCCTTCTTATACCTTGGCACGGGTGCACCAAAACCTGTATTCCAAGTGGCCTGTGGCACAAAAATCCATTCCCTTTGGGCTTCTTAAAGCCAACCAGCACGGGGGTACGCTCAAAAAATGACACACCCAAATAGAAACCGGTCCCCAACATGATTGTTGTCCCTTTGGTGCCCCTTGACATGCGAACTAAATGGGAGGTCCGAAACCGATTTTGAGACACCACCAATCCTGTAAGGTGCACTAGGGTCATCCCCAAGTCTAAGGGCGCCTTGTTGCAAGGGGAACTAGTCGGACATCGTTCGGTAACCTTAGCCATCCATCCCAAATCAAAGGGTATGGTGACAGGCGCAAAAACTGGAGTGTAGCTGGCCCCAATCTACCCGTACCAAAAAGTCACCCTCAAATGGGTGTGTCATTTTTAGGAAACCCCCCCAAACTGGTGGGTTTCCCTTTGTAACCCCAAAAAAGGGGTACCCTCAAAAAAAGTCACCAAAATAGCAACCATGTCACCAACCAGTTTCTGACGTTGATCACCAGAAACAGTTGAATCAATCACCCCAGTGTAGTGATTTCCTTTGAGCACAGACCAAGTCCACCAGAAATCCTCTTCGCCCAAGGCAGCTCAGGCGCCCAGTTCAGGCACCCGCCCCCCCTTTTTAGGGGGAAGCCTCGCGAAGCCGCACAAAGCGGCGCTAAGGATTGCTCTGCAGGCCCTTGGTGCAAAGCGGCAAAGTTACTCTACGCTGGTCTTGTTAAGGCCAGGGGAAAACCTGTGCTCGCTGTTCACTGGGGGCCCCATGAAGCGGACGGAACATGAGAGACTCCGCTTTGCCGAAATCACCTTGAAAGTGAACACGGAACATGCAGTGGAAAAAGTCTTCCAAAGACCTAGGACTGCTTTGAACAAGTTTGGATGGCGCCAGTTTTACCACGAGCAGGCAAACAGCTTGGATTAGGGCCAACCTCCCGCCCCATGTTCCAGTACTTCCTCGGGGCCCAGAAAAAGCCAAAGCCCAACTGCCTGGCGATTTTTGTCGAAGACTTGATCCCGGAAAAAGCGGGTGACCTAGCCATAGGGAAGCCGCCAGCAAAAAGGAATTTCGCGCGTGAACAGCTGGGAAAGGGCCACCAATCACTTGGCGCTTTGGATTGGTGGTGTGGTTGGGGGATGGTGGAAACCATTTACCCTCTACAGGAAAGGGGGTGTCAAATCCCCAGTTCGCACCGATCCAAACCACTAAAGGGTTGCCTGAACCAAGTAGGACTCACCTCAGGGCAAACGAAACCACTTCTCTGCTTCAGCCGCCGGCTTCAGCGGTTGAAGAGTTCACGCATCCGCGCCTGCCGCGCGAAGCAGAGAAGAAGAAAATGACGTGCCCGAAGTTTGGCTTCAAAACCCATGGATCTTTGCAGCCACGGTGTTCAAGAGAACCAGGCAAAAGCACAAGCAAAAGAAACTACGAACATACCGGAGCAGTGAAACGGGAACCTCCAGGCTTCGCTTTCTTCGCTGTTCCCTCTCAGCGGCCCAAACAAAATAGAATGAGCTTGGAGCGTTGAGATCAAACTCATGGCCACGAGGATCATGAGTTGGGCATGGCTGTTTTTGCCCTTGAAGTAAAAAAGCCACTCTTTTCGCCTTCCCCCTTCTCTTTTCTTTTTTTTGGTCGGCCTGACGGGAGAGGAAAACTGAATCATTTTCTCCCCCGGCCTAGGCGCATGGGCTCCTGCCAGCCCTCCTTGGGGTCGAAGACCTCGAAGGTGTCCAGCGGGACCTACCGTTGCAGTCGCGTCGGCTCGTCGGCTCGCTCAACTTGCGATCGCGGGAATGAGATGACGCAGGGAAGGAGACATGGAATGAACCGTTTGGGGATTCCCGGATCAAGGTTTATAGGGCGAAGAGCGAGGGAACCGTTTACGGGGATTCCCGGAGAAAAAGGTTTTTTGGGGCGAAGAGCCAGGGGAAATGGAAGGAGAAGGGGCAAGCGGAGAAAGCAAATGTATTTGATACCCATTATTAGCTGTTGATTCATCCTTTTGCATCCCAAACATGCAAAGTTCACTGTTGGAAACCAACAACCTCATCCATTCATCCTTCTGGTGAGCCCCAGGCAAAGCTGCACTTGGAAACACCCCAAAAAAACACCGGTTGCTTCACAACACACAACCTCATCCATTCCAGGGTGATGGACACACCCTCATACTCCACCGGGTCCCTCCCCCCCTCGACCCCGTATGGTGGGCACGCAGGGCCTATTTTGCAACCTGCTTCTTTTTGGGTATTGGTTTTTAGGGGCTGTGGCATCCATGGCAACCATCGCCCCCCCCCCCCCCCGGTCTCCTTGCCGTCGATCCCGCCGAGCACATAGAGCCGCCCCTTCAGCGCGAAGGCAGTGTGCCCCACCCGGGGGTAGGCCATGGGCGGCAGCTCCTGAGGTGCTTGAAGATGGGCCACGCTCGTTCTTCTCTTCTTTTATTCGGGCATTTTTGCTTGCTTTGCAGCTCTTCCTTTCTTTTCATCGGGCGCCCCCCAGGCTCCCTTTAAAACCAAGCCAAGAACAGGTACCCTCCCCAAAAAAAAGACGACCCCCCCCCCATGCCATGTTTCCCCCGTTTGAGGGTTTCCAGTCATGGCTGTCATCCATCCAATCTGCGAACTGATCGGATTGAATCACTTGCCAGGTCTTGGAACTTTTTCCTCGCCCCTTTGGCGCCAAGAAGTGGGATTTTTTGGTTACCACTCGGGACCTTGCCCAAACCAAGCAGCGAGGATCCACGGATATGTTTTGAACAGGGCGTATTTTCATGCATGCCAAGGTGAAAGCAAATGGCACAACTGTTTTTTTGCTTTTTGGTAAGAAGGTGGGGGAAAAAACAAATCGACTCTCACCCAACTCTAACTCCTATATTTCGCCAACTTGAATAAAGGAATCTCCTACAAGCCTGGCAAATAGTTGCTTCAATGAGTTGCTTCCCCCTGTTCATCAACTATGGGTCGATTCACTCTGGCCCCCCTTGTGCAGTGTTCCTGCTGTGGTTGAACCATGCAAACGGATGTCTTCTGGACCGGCCGTGGATATGCATGGCAATAACGGCCACCAATTCTTTGCTTCGTTGATCTTTGAGGTCTCCCCACTTCAAAAAGCCCACGTGGCAACACGTCAAATGCCCCACTGTGTTTTTTACCACAAAAAAAAAACAAACAAACAAAAAAGAAAAAAAACGAGCAACTCGTTGACCAGCTGGAACGGTTGCCCCACTGGGGTGGGAATCCACCTGCAAACCAAAAGAACACCTCGCGGACCTGCGAATCCATTCGAAAAGCGGCACCTCCCAGCGCTGGAGTTTCACGTCGAAGACCTCCCCCGAGCGCAGCACCTCCTCCCCGTCCGAGCCCCCAACAACCTGGCGCAACGTTCCCCGGAAAAGATGACACCCGAAACGGGGGGGTGGGTTGAAAAGGGAAATGATGTGGTTATGTAGTGAGCTCGGGAACACTTCGGGAACTGCGGTTTCCACCAAAAGCGTGCCACTCAAATGATGTCCGCATATGACTCTCTGAGGGTGCCCAAAGCAAGTATTGGTGAAGGGCCAGAAGCGACTTAACAGAAACCCATGGACCCTTCCCTATTGTTTCCCAGACTGGTGCACATTTTTTCGGGGGGGTTCGAACCCCGGGAAAGGCTTTCGGGGGTTGAACCCCAAGACAGGTTTGCCATTTTGTCCCCTTGTGGTGGTGTTAAGCATCACCTTCTGGGCAGTTTAAAGCGAGTGGCTTTTCTTGGTGCGTTCTTTAAAAGGAAGAGGGAACCCTGCAAGACCTGGGGAAGCGGGGCGATAGACGTGAGCTCACCTTGGGAGACCCGTTCGTGCCCAAGCTTCCCGGCATTGGGGCAAGGCACATGCCCTGACCCCTAGCAAATGAGCAAGGAACCCGGGCCCAGTTGCCCTGCGGGCTTTTGCAAACGTTCAGAGAGTGGAACTCAGCGGCTCACCCTCTGAAAAAATAGATGAGCGTGAGCAGGAACAACCAACCAAGCAACTTACAAACAACGTGCCCAGCCCCTTTTCAGGCTCGCAGTTCTTCAACCGCCTCTCGCCAAAAGAGGGGATGAACTTTGGACCCCCCCCCAACAAAAGAAGAAGAAACAAAAGTGGAAATGCTCTAGCCTTAGCGTGGGTTCTCCCCCCAAAAGGTCTCTCTTCATAGAAAAGACAGTTCCACCCGGAGCAGGATCCCGAGATCTTTGCGCCGAGGTGCGTAGATGAGCTCTTCCTCCTGCGAGTCCGCAATTTGCAAAATCCGCTCCCCCCAATTAGCCCTAGAATAAGGCTTCCAAGGAATCATCATTAGTGTTCAGAAGATCCTTGATCAAACTTCCTGAGACTGATTTCTGTCCATTTGGGGTAAGTAGGACCAAATGATGGTTGGTGAATCCGGAAAAAACTTCGGACAACCCATGGCTGGACTTGGGTTCATCATCTCGTTGGATTCTGATCTGTCAGGATGAAGCAGAGCAGTGCTGATTCAGGATTACTTTCCCTGATGAGCGCATGATGTTTTTTGCCGGAATGCGGGCTCAAGGGACAGCAAGTCACTTGATTTACACTGCCGCAGCTGACTGGGTTGCAGGGCGGAACCCATCGTAGAGGGGTTCAGGGTCACTTGCGGGGAAACTGCACCACCCCAAGGTGAATCTGACAGGTTCCGCTACAATCCGGGCTCCACATTGCCACTAGAAGAAAGCCCTTGAACCCAGAAAATTGTTGTGCTTCAAGCAAATGGGAAGGACATGTCAAACGAACGACCTCGACAAAAATTCGCGAAAGGCAAGCCCCGCGAAGTACACCCGGGGCCCAGCTTAGGCTACGCGAGCGCTCCTCGTTCCGGATCACCGCCGCGGCCGCGCCGATGCGACCCACCGACATGGGCGGCACTGGGAGCCACCTGGCGACGCGAGCGACGCGACTGTCACCACGCAACCGCTGGGTCGAGCGAGCTTCTTCCCTGCGCAACCCAAATGGTGTGGTTGCAAACAACTGGTTTTGCTCTAGATTTTTTTTGGCAGCCCCCTACTAAAAATGCATAGAACTAAAAACAAACACAACGAGAAGAAAAACAAACTTGGCGAGGACTGTGAAGTGGTTCAGACGAAATACGAATCAAGACAAATGAAGTGAAGAGTGTAACCAAAAGTGCAATGGCGGCACAGAAAGCTTCACTCGCGCGACCCTCCTTTTATCTTGAGCCAAATGTACAAGTCATCCAAGGCGAACTGAATGTTTGTTATCAGTGTCAACCCTGGAAACCTGATTCAAAGGGAAGTTCAAGCAAACATGAATTCCGGGGGCAAGGTTGAATTAGACATGCATGCACCACCTACCATCAGGAAAATGTGGATTCCAGCAGGGGGCATTCTTCTCCCCCTTCTCACACTCGGAAAGTGTCCTACGCAGACTCCAGTTTAGTTATTTAACTATCTGGCCTACGCCTACAGGTCTCGGAGCGTTTCCGCTTCACGAGATGGCACTTTGCAAGTTGAGCTTAAGGATGCCATGTTAAGTAGGTCTAGTGCATGGTCCCACTTGCACACCGGCAATGGTTTTGTAAACACATCTGCTCTCTGCTTGTCCGTTGCTATGTACAGGAGTCTGCAACTTGGATCTTCGAAGACCTCATAAGCTGAACCTAGTTCGATCTTCTCCGTCTTCGTGAGGTGTCGCAATTTGGGGCTATAACCTGCAGCCACGATCTGGATTACAGCTGAGTTATCCTGAAAGCACTCTAGCGTGACCTGACGGTCCAAGATCAATTCCAGGAAGCCTTGTGCTGGCAATGCTTCGCCGAAAAGGCCTGATCCTAGTGAGATCATCTCTGCTGCTGTTGTGCTCCTGGCAGTCGCGGTTTGGCGTTTACTGCCCCACGCGATTGGCCACAAGGTGTTAGGGCCCTCAATGGACAAGAACATGCCGCTCGTGCTTTTGTGTGTTCGATGCCACTACAGTGGTCCGCATCTGTGTACAATCACAGCTTGAGCAGTTCTGGCGGGTCGCCTATATGTCCTTGTAAAGTGTACCCTTTTGACCCATACAGGTAGCACATTAGCCTATGGAGCCGTTTATCATCTGCTCGACTCCAAGTGGTAATCCTACGTGTCAAATCCCCTATCCCTTTCATTAGGTCGGGTCGGCTTAGCCTAGCGCACCAGAGGATTTTCATCAAGATTTTGCATGCAGAAGTTGCCAAAACCCCTTTACTTTCAAAGTCAGCGGTTGTAAGGCTACCTTCTGGGCAGAAAGGACTTTTAGCTGTGCTCAACTTACATTGAGCCAAGTCCTCATACACTGCACATGCGTTCTCGATGAAATCGAACATTTCGAGCGAAACCTTGGTCGATCCATTGGTCCGATCGAATTTATGCTGTCTGCCCAGCACACGTTCAACTTGAGTTGGAGGTTCGATCTCCAAATGCTTTTCGATCTCCTGCCAAAACTTGTTTTGTTCTGACGACGGCCCTGAGCACAGAATGTCGTCGACGTAGCAAGTTACAAGAAGCTTCCTTTGTGGAAACCAAAATGAAGATGGAAATTCATCAACATGTTGACCTTCCAAAAGTTTCATCACTTCCCTTAGCCTTTGATCCCAATGGTATCCTGATTCGGGATGGCCATAAAGGCTCCTGACCAACCTCACACACGGCTGTTTGAAGTGCCGGTATTCAGGAGGAGTCAATTCCCAAGGCAAGATCACCCATGTGGGCACCTTTGTCCCAAGGTACGCTTGGGTGTAGGCTTTTACTACGTCTGATTGACGAGTTTCGTGACCCTTGATGGCGCCGTATGCTAGATTGATGTTGACACCGGTCATTCCGGTCGGAGTGACTTTTGCTTCTTGGAGCACCGCAAGATTGTTGTCTTCCGTGAGGATGTGATCCCCTCGGAAAACTATCCTGGCTTTGAGTTTACGGAGTTCTGGGGTTTCCCAATGCTTTATCGACAAGATGGTCATTAGGGAAGCAATGTTGATATGCTCCTTGTTCCTTTTACATCTTGCCAAAAGGTCCTCTTTTGAGATTACCTCATCGAAAGTCCAGGTTCCGTTAGCTACTAGCCCATTCACTTCATTGTCAATGGCGTCTTGCGCTCCAGGAAAGTTACCCCATTCTTTTCTCTCCAACAACTTGTGGATGCCAGCAAACACATGTTCTACTCCTGGCAGCTCCTGATGACCTGCCTCGTCCTCTGGGGCGTGGTCGCCACACAGGAACTCTTGCACGGAGTTTGGCCCAGCTGACACTTGCACAGGCATTGCAGGCGGTGCGTCAATCCAGGGATATAAGGACTGAGAAATGCACCTTGCCATAGGCATCGGGTAAAAGGCACTTCTAGGTGTCTTACTGCCTGCAAGAGGTGAATGCTTATAGTCACGCGGATGTTGGCACTTGGCACTGTCTAGGTTTTTAGCCAACCTCCATGAAGAGGTTACAACTCTCCACGTCTTGAGGTGACATTTACCTTCTTGGTCACAGAGTCCAAATGCACAACCTTGAGGTTCCGCCACGAACAAGTCATGCCTCTTGACAAACCTGATCAGCTCTGGCAAGTCCCATCCGGCACATGTCTTTGGCCACTCGAAGGCAACGTGGCCCCCTTGACTGAGGACTTTGTCTGCACAACGAATGTAGTTTGCTAAAATTTTCTAGAATGCTTGCGCATTTTCTTGAGTTTCTTAGCAAACGGTTTTCCGTATTGATGGAGATTTACATTCTGCCATTGCGACCAGGGGCCGCAAGGAATCGATCCCCACAAATCACACCCGGGAAATTGTTCTATGACCTTCAAAAGACTGTCATTTTCCCACTGGCTTGACATGTCAGAGTTCTTTGTTGTGAGTCGGAAATGGTTGATTCCTCTTTCTTCGTTGATCTGACCCAACGTTGAGTTCTCATCGCAACAAAACTCAAAGAGTGTCGGATTCGCCGATCGACCTTTGCGGTCTTCACGTGCAGGCTTGACCAAGTCCTTAGTGAGTTCAAGGATTTCTCTGGCCTTCCTAGTTCGTGCTTGGCTGTCACCGGCTTGCTCGATGAACCTTTGCATAGCTCTGAGATTACCGTCTGAAGGGTTGGCTGCGGCTGCACACAATTGCGCTTGATCTGGCGACACACGTCCTTTCGGAAAGAACCACGTCTTACCAAACCAACTTTTGGATGAAATCCTTTGATACGGAGTCTCTTGCCAGTTGTCCCTATGCACGGAAACCTTCCCCTTGCATCTCCACTCGGTGATGCGTTCCGGTTCAACCTCGTTGGAGTCGAAAGGACAATCCTTACCCACTGGTGCAAATAGCCTTTTCCTACGTCTTAAATGCACTAGTACCCATGCGTGCCTTGCTTCATCAAACTCCCAATAATCCTTGGTTTCCGAGTTGCCCTCAACCAAAGACTTTGCCCCCTTGACGTCTGATCTTGGCCCTTTGTTTTTAGAGTCTTGAAAAGAACAGTTATGACAAGAGTCGACGGCGGTGGCACCAGGAGCATCGGTTGCTTCACTGGCCCTTTGGGTTAGCGTGATGACTGCTGCTGGAGTGGGCGGAACTGGTGTCGAAGGTGCTGGGCCAGATCCAGGAGTACGAGGTACCGGTGTACCCCGCGAAGCAGGAGTCGGAGGCATCGGTATCCCCCTTGCTGCTGCCTCTTCCCGGGCCTTAGCCTTGGCCTCCTGTGCCAGCCTCTCATCCTCGAGGAGAACACGGAATCTGTCGTGACATGCATCGGAGTGCGGTACTCCTTCCGAGATCCTTTCACACCCTTTGCAACCCGGGGTTCTACCAAATTTGATGGCCCTCTCCAACGTCACATAGGTTCGTTTTCTCCTAGGGACAGGATCTGGGACTTCATCGTCAAATGGCAAAGCCTTCCTGGTTGAAATGGATGGTGGGGTTGATTTCGCACTGAACAGCTGAAGCCTTTGTTGCTCTGCCTCAAAAAGAGGGAAAACCCAATGTCCATTTGAAGGTTCGACCAATTCTGTTTCGTAAACTTGGATTGGCTTACCACAACCTTGAGTGTTTTTGCGAAGCGACTCAAAGTCTAGGACGAGGTGTATACCCCTAAATTTGTACCCTGCGTCGATCCTCCAGCCAACGAATATGCCGGGGTATGTCCTCGGCTCGAAGTCCGGAAGCTCTCGATGCTTGGGCGGCTTGTAAAACACCAGGCAACCAAACGGCAGCTTCAAACCTGTGAAGGCGTCACCGCCGCTCGCGGCTTCATATGCATTCTGAGTGGCATTGAGATTCCGGACATCATCCGAATCATTTGGATGGATTGCCGCATTTGTTGACACGGCTAATGCGGTGCACACGTACTCAACACTTCTTGGCCAAAACTGGTGAGGCAAACCAGATTTCAACTGAACAGCTCTAGCGGCTTCCTTAATGCTCCTGATCTTCCTTTCCGTGACTGGATTGTGGATCTGATCATTTGGAACACTAGGATCTGGAAGCCATCCAAGGTACTCTACGGCACCCTTGAGCTCTTCTGCACAGTCGGTTTTGACCTGACACAGTGCCTTACCATGAGCTCTGGTTCCTCCAAAGTGCTGAAGACACCTGATGTTGCTATCGGTGTCCCGCTTAGCTTGCGGATACGCGGCAAACGCACCTGAATAGTCATCTAAGACTACCAAACAACAGCTTTCCCCATCTGACCCTTTTGACAAGCCCGTGATCATATGATCTGCTCTGAGTTTGTGGCCAAAATGCAAAGGAGGTGTTTCCTCCGGATCTATTTCCAGACCCCTTTTGCGGTGAACCTTTGCGGTCATCTTAGCCCTCCTGCAAATCTCACAGTACCTGTTCTTAGGAAAGTGCGTCAACTGATGCTTTTCGGAGTTAGCTTCTTGCTGAAGCTTTTCACGCAATGAGGGGGTCCACTCCTCATCTTCAGAGGTTAGCGGCTCGTCCCCAGGTTCCTTTTCTGGCACTCTTGCAAAAGAAGTTCCTCTTCAACCCCAAAATGAGGCAAAGAGTCATCGAGCTTCACGCCCCTTTTTGACCTCGGTAGGTCTGAAGGGTGGCCAGGCGTGGGCGGAGCTTCTTCAAATGCTTTGGCGTCCGGTGCAAGCAATTCATGAGGTCTCACTGACGGCCTACTTGTGTCCCCTTTTGATGAGGACGAAGGCTCTCCTCCTGTTGCTGGCATTCCTGACACGGCATCTGGTGCTGCGACAGCCACGCTTTCGGATAGGATTGGAACGTTTTGCTCCACACGATCGGCATAAATCCTGGCTGACTCCGGAACGTGATGTACGACATCACTCACCCGATCTGCTTTGATTAGGTATGGGAGTTGGCCTGGAAACCACACAAATGGCCTGCCATGCTGTTCCACTTGAAGGCCTACCGACAAGGCATGAGGGCAATCCTTCAACATGTAGAACGTGTTTGTTCCTGACAATTCCCCTGAGAGATCCACCACTTCAGCACTAGGCCTGATGCCACCGCCGGTGCAGAATTCGATCGGCTCATTTGCCTCGTGCACATACTCCCTGAAGGATTGCGGCAAACTCTTGCTTGAGATTAAGTTCCTACCGGCACCGGTGTCCAGCAGAAACTCTTGCTGCACTGGCTGGCTAAGGCACGCAATCATGGTTGCCACGGCTTTCATGCATTGCGACAACACGGGAGTGCAGAATGCGGTCTTCTTGCACTTCTTGGCTGCTTTCTTAGCTTCAGCGACAGTTCCTTTCAAGGCATACGCGACTGCGAAAACCTTTGCTGCCCCTGCGTTGACGGAGGCTGCACCTGCTGGCGATGACGTCTGAAGCCCTTTTGGCTTGGGTCCCTTATAGAGATTGTTGGAATCATGCAGATAGAAGCACTTATCACCTTTGGTGCAAGCATTATACCCAAAGTACATGCAAGGCTGCTTCTTCTTCTCTTCATCCGTTAGCCTAGGAGTGCCCTTAGGAGTTGTGTCCCCCTTCTTACCCTTGCCACCCTTACTCTCGCCCTTGCCTTTCCCCTTTGCGGGTGCTGCATTCGCTTCTTTAGGCTTCGGATCTTTGGAGTCTTTGGGCTTCTGGCTGGATGAAGGTTGCTCCTTTTGGGCTTCCCCCTTCTTCTCTGCCTTCTTCTTGTCGTTCTTGTCTTTCCCTTCCTTTGTCTTGGCTGGCGCTGCTTGGGACTTAGTTGCGGATTGCGTGTACACCTGATCGATCGACACGACATTTTCATCTAGCTGATGAATCTCGATGATTTCCCCGAGCTTCGCGTAAAGCCAAGGCCAAGTCCTTTTACTGCTGTTTGGACTGGCGTTCCTGAAACGGGCGATCACCAAAGCCATTTTTGGATGTCCTTTCAATTGCTCGAAAAGGGTGCTCCTAATAGCTTGGTCACTCGGTCTCTCGGAAACTTCCAAGGCCTGGTACACGAAGTCGAATCTCTGACGGAAATCTTCGAGTGCCTTAATGTCGGTGCCGCTCATCTTGAGGCCTAAGAGATGGGTTTGAGTCAAGGCAATTCCCCTATCCTTGTTTATTTTAAACTTCTCAAAGATGACCCACAACAACTTCCGCCCCTTTGGCTGCTTGAAGACCCGTTGCTCTTGCTCCTGAATGGATTGGAAAAGCATGGCAAACTTGGTGTTCTTCGACAGCTCAAGCAGCTTTGAACCCAACACTCGATCAAGAATTGGAAACGGAAGGCTCGACTCGAGATCGGCTTTGGGATTAGTGCTTTCGGCGATCCAGCTATGGACTAAGGATTCGTCACCCTTTGCAAGCCTACACACAAGGTTGAAAACCGAGTTCCTGAATAGGCGAGCGTCTGCCGCCGTTTTGGGCAGCTGAGGCAACTTCATCTCATCATATGCCTTCACACGCATGAGTTTCTTTTCCCTTGAGTAGGCATCGATTGCCCCGTCAATTTGGGCCATTCCCTGATTTCCTTGAGAGGGAATTGAGGGGCCCTGATTGGATTCGCTTGATGAGCTATCCAAGTGATCTGGCGACCCAGGATTAGAACCATGCTGTGAACCATTTTGCGATCCACCCCCCGACTGCCCTCCCACACATCCTATGTTGAAAATCTGAGGGACCTGCCCTGTTCCTGCCTGATGAATTTGCGGCACAGTTTGAGCGGCGGCAGTCTGGGATGCAAATAGCTCAAAGGCTGATGCGAGTTGATCCAAACGCCTTTCTAATGCACTTAATCCCGGATTCGGTGCAACTGGAGAAGAATCCCCAAAAATGTTTCTCACAGCACCTGATAAGTCCCATGATGAAGCATTGTGTGCACTGATTCCGGTGCCCTGAGGCATCACGGGGCTTGCCTGATGTGAACCATTGCCATGCGCTATCGGTTGGGGGTTTCCGGTGCCCTGCGGCATCACGGACCCGTCCTGCACTGGCTGGCTGGTGCCCGAAGGCATCACAGCAGGATGCCCACTCGCCTGCAGTGGCTGATTATCCGCGCCATTATGGATGCATGCCAATTCCCTTTTTAAGGATTGATTTTCGGCTTCAAGATAGTGTCTTCATTCCTGTTACTGGAGTCTGCGACCTGCGGGGTGAAAACATCTGTACAGATCCCTGAGCAGCTGGAACTATTTCTGACGGCTCCATTGCTTCTTGAAATTGGTCGGACAGGAAAAGCTACTGGCGCAATGCCTGCTTGCACCTTGCGGCGCACTCCGGCCAATGGGCCACACAATCCTCAAGAAATCCGACTGGCCTGAACAAATTGTTGGCCGGTGGCTTTCTGCGAAGCTTGATGTGAATGCCCGAGATCTTGTCCTGCACCTGGCGATCGATGATACTGTTGATGACCTCGTCACTGTCGTCAACGATGAATGCCGAGCGGAATCCAACTGACAGCAGATCCTGAAGGACTAGCACCTTCCCACCTTTCTGGGTCCTGGGATTGAAACTGGCCCTTTCAGAAGTTGTAACGATGAAGTCAAAAACTGATGAGATATCCGGAGTGCGATTGAACGCAGCAACCAATGCGTCTCGGCGTTCTTGGCTATGGAGGTAGGATAGGCAGATTGTCACAACGTGGATACCTTCGCGAAAGAAAGCGGCTTTCAGCTGTCTAATCGCTTCGAGGTTGTCGTGGCAAATACCTTCGTAATCCCACTCTGTGCGTCCGCAACGGGCTCTGTCAAGAACCTGGTGATAGTCGATTGCAACCACGCAACTGTCCCGAAAGTCAATGCCGTAGCGCGGCTCGTAGACAAAGGACAATCCTTGATCTTCCCAATTGCTGTTCACACACTTGAATACTCCTGTGGCAAGAGTCAAATCACAAATCACCGCAGCGAAGTGATGCCCGGAAGGCTCAGCGCGCCTCGGCGTACGTGAAGTGCCTCTGGCCTCGACGCAGCTTTGCTGGTCGCCTGGAGCAATCTGTGCTGCACAGGCTCCGCAGATGACGATGCAGGCTCTTCGGCTCGGAGCGACTCGCGCTGCACAAGCCTAAGAGGAGCAGATCGATCCGCTGCCTTCACAACCCGAAAAGACACCCGATGATTCTGGGGCTCCTCAGTCAGACGCTGTTGCTCGTTCCAAAAGGCCTGTTCGTAGAGCTGTAGCTGTTCCCAGTTGACTTTTGCACGTGCAAGCCTGTCCCAGGTGCTATCCAGCACAAATGGAGGTTCGTTTGATAAAACCCCCTCGGCCAATCCGTCACGTAGTACACCAAGTTTCTGTGACTTGCCTCTTCGTCCGGCTCGATGCCAACCGAAGAGGTTCCACAGTTCCGGTGCCACTCCCGGATGCTCGACGCCCTCACCCGCCGTAGCTATCGGTCGCAGCTCAAAAGCTACGGCTGATAACCAGACGAAATACGAATCAAGACAAATGAAGTGAAGAGTGTAACCAAAAGTGCAATGGCGGCACAGAAAGCTTCACTCGCGCGACCCTCCTTTTATCTTGAGCCAAATGTACAAGTCATCCAAGGCGAACTGAATGTTTGTTATCAGTGTCAACCCTGGAAACCTGATTCAAAGGGAAGTTCAAGCAAACATGAATTCCGGGGGCAAGGTTGAATTAGACATGCATGCACCACCTACCATCAGGAAAATGTGGATTCCAGCTGGGGGCATTCTTCTGGTTCCGCTTGCTTTGAGCAAGCTAAACCCGTAAATGTCAGCAGGCTTTCGGAGAGTTTTTGGGGGGTTTAGCGGGGGGGAGTAGTTTCATGAGCTTAGGTCACCTTTGAAAAATATAATCTTGGTTGCTTTCTGCTCCCCTGCTAAAAGTTTAACTTTTAGTGGTCTTGTAGTGGTGTAATGGAAAACCGATTAGTTGGCACCAAGTTGAAGTCCTAACATCCAAGCAAAATGCACCAAAGGAATATTTCGAGCAGTGATACATTCCCTTTACAACCACAGCGGAAAACAAAAAACAAACTTGGAAGCAAATCTTGGTTCCTCAAAATTACCCGGGCTAGCCAGGTCCCAAGAGTAATTTTGAGAACCCCTCAACAGGTTCACTTTACCGTTTTTCTTTTGGGGGCAAGCCCAACGGAGATTCCAGGGTTGCCATAGCCCATTTTGAGACGCACACCCTGATCAACTACGTTAGGGCGGTGTAACATAAAGCCGATAAAAGTGCGCCAAAAGGTTCACAAACTAATGGGTGGACAGTTTTACTGATAGAAGCCCTCCACATTGAGGCTAACTCTCGGAACCCATTAAGCCTGGCCCTCTTGACGGAGAAGTTGGTGGCCAAGTTGGGCTTCCTTCCCAAGGGAACCAACTCACACTTTCAGTGCCCCCGGCTTTTGTCTAGAAAGCCCCTCTCCCACTCGGCCCCCCTCTGCCCCATCACCTCACACCTCACATCTCACCCCGAATTTGCCCGCCTCTCGCAGTAGAGCTCAAAGGCCTCCACACCTCAAGGTGGGACGGGCAAACCCTGCTCAATGTTCCCGAAAGCTGACTAGTCCACTCAGGTTGGCTCAAGGCTTCATACACGTTTTTGCCGACATAAATGGCCAACGGCAAAGAGGCAAAGGTAGGGAAAAGGGACGCCCTGCTTGGGGTAAAGGGGGCTTAGCCCCCACCGGGCCCCACCCTCATGCAAGGGTGGGAAACTTGGCTCGGTGAAGGCGATTCAACTCCGGGGGTTGGCCGTTGCTTACATGAGTTTTTTGGAGGAAAGCTCAGTCCCTTCTTGGGGCTTTGGAGGAAGCCACCGGAAGCCACTCATCCCAAAATGAAATCGTAACAGCTTCTCTTGATCCATTGGGTTTTGATTGTAGAAATTTCATGGGTTGTCATAAAAGCAGAGAAGAAGGGACTTCCGGGACGCAGAGTAAGGGTTGTTATTTCAGTGTCTTATGATAATCCAGCAGCGTAAGGGACGCAAAACCTTTAAAACAAATGGGTTGTTCTGAAAACCCTATGATAGTCTAGACTAAGGGACGCAAAACCCCCCCATCGATCAACTGCCCAGGTCCAGAAAACGCCAAGGCGCTGCTGTGCGCCCGCGGCTTCTCGGTCTTCAGCTGCCGTTGCTGGCCTGGCAGCCGAGCGCAAGGCAGCGCAGATAAGCGAAGCCCAGCCCCACGTGCACGGGGAACCGGCCTAAGGGAAACCACAGTCATGGGCCCAGACTCCATGGGTAGCCTGTTGGAAAAATAGATGGGTTTCACTAGTAAATGGCTAACAAAACCCATTATTTTTAACCAGGCTCACCTAAAAAGGACACCTAGGGCCCAAACAGCGACGTCCAAGACCGAAAACCAAGTGCTGAGGAAACCTCCGCGACACTCCATGAAACGTATGCTGATGGTACCATCCAAGTGTCCAGTCCCAGGCTTGGGAGTCCAGTCCCAGAGTCCCGGTGGCTTGGGAGCAGTGGAAATCACATGCAGCATGGGCAAGCCCCACCGGACTTAACCACCCTCCCCCCACCCCCCAATCTCCCCCCCTCCCCCCCATAACCCCCCTCCCCCACCAAACCCCAATCACCCACCCTCCCCCCCCAGCCGCAGCCCCGTCCATCGCCTCCCAGGGCATAGACGCTGCCATTGGCGGCCACCAGGCAGTGGTAGGACCGCGCCACCCCCATGGGGTCCATGGCGGCGCTCCAGGCGTTGGTCCTCTCTTGGGAGGCGAGGAGGGGACCCCGCAGCAGCTGAACCAAAAAAAACAAACATCATGTGCACCCCATATTCATCAACCCCAGTGTATTCATAGGGGGAGGGTGCGGCTTGAATTCAAAAAAAAAAACGCCGCGCCGGACATGTGGACTCCATACTAATCAACCCCTGTTTCTCATTGATAGGGGGGGTGCTTCTGCCTGGGTTTAGTGGGGAATCAGATTTGAAGGGGAACACCCCTATTCATGAACTGGGGTTGATTAATATGGGGTCAACATTACGCCTGGGTGATCCCCAACAGGAACCTCCTGGAACCATAGGTGGCCTTTTGGAAGAATAGATGGGTTTCCCTGGTAAATGGAATAGCCCCATCTAAACCAGGGCCCTCTATTTTCAATGCAAACCAACCAAAAAGGACACCTATCCTGGAACCCAAAGGCAGAGACTCGTTTGGTGTTAACCCGGGGTGTTTCTCCCTGGCTGACATGTGGTTGGAATCAGTCGTATGGGGTCAACATTGTCTCCAACAGCCCAGGAACCTCCTGAAACCCAAACGCAGAGAAGCCTACAGCTTTCAGCTGTTGAAACTTTGAAACAACAACCATTTTGAGTGGCTTGGAGCTGAATCGGTGATTTGGAGGATTAGTAGCTAGAGAAGACTATGTTCTGAATCTGTTCCGTCGCCTACCAAACATCAGACAACAATAGGCATCCTGAAAAGCAAAAGCACCACGTTGACCAATTTCGGTAAAACCGCTTGGTCATTGGTTTCACTTCACTTGCTGGCTCTCAGAGAATCGTGCGAGGGGTTAGCAACCGCCCAGCTAGCCCTCAGTTTGAGCCTCGGCTCGCCCCCAGACCAAGCCTTACTTTTTGTCCAGGGTTCCTAACCCTCTAGCCAATTAGCTGGCTCTCAGTCAGGCTTTGAGAATGAACTGCTTGGAATTGCTTCCCTAGGAAACCACCAGGCATGTTACGGTGCGTTCCCATTCCCTCATGAATCGCATCCTCGGGTGGGTGTTTGCTTTCACCCTCTGACATCGACTCACTTCAGTGGGTCAGTGAGACAAGGTCCAAACTGGTTGCTTCCCAAAATGGTCTTCCCCCAAGAACTCAAGTGCAGGACCTCAGGAAGTGAGATGTAGTACTAGCTTCCTCCCGTTAACAGGAAGGTAAGTAAGCAGATTACAACCATGGGGAAGCACCCCAGGTTTGTTCACCTGAGGCCACCATAGGTAAGAACTCAAACAGGCCCGTTTTTGTGTGTCTTTGACTTGCGGGCCGGGTTACTAACAATCTCCGACTCGTACAAAAATGCCACTCGCATACTGAAATCTCTCTAACTGGGAATCTCTCGCTGACTCTTTACTCGGAGGGGAGCCTGAGGCAAGTCATGCTGGGAATCTCAAATCAGCTTCCCTCCGTTGGCGGCTTGGATCGGTGATTCAGAGGTCATACAGGAACCCGGGGTTCAATCCCTAAACCACCAAGCCAAACCACCAACTAAGGGTTGCCTGAATTATTGCCTCCATAGGTGGCCTGTCCCTCTCTTTTTTTAGAAAACCAACCAAAAAGGACACCTATGCTTGCCTTTCTCACCGAGTTCCCTCCTGGGATCATACACCTCTGCGGATGCGAGGTCCCGGATGCCGTCGAAGCCCCCAGCCACGTAGATGCGGCCTGCGGGCGAGGTGTCTCAATCAAAAAGGCCTTCTGATCGAAGGGGCGATGTCGAAAGCGCCCCTAAAACCCAACGTGTTCTACAACCATCCAGCGTCCCGCAGGTGTCAAGGTCCGGGAATAGAACATGGCGTCAACCCCAACCCTGGCCTCGAAAAACTAGCAACTGAACAAAACTTGTCTGAGCATGTAGCGCCCTAGGGCCTCATTTTGGGGTCATTTCGATGCCTCAATTTTTGAGGGAGTGTACCATTTGGATTGCATGGGTTCCTTGTGAATCCTTTTGTTTCTTCTTGTTTCCACCCCTTTCCAATGATCGGAATGGGGTCGCGGAGTACTTTCAAACCCAAACAAGGCGTGATCCGAGGAGTAAAAATGTTAGGCATTGGTCTCATTTTTATGGAAACCACAAAATGGTGGATTGTCCCTTTTGGTTTCCCTGTTAAAACCATCAAAAAGTGGTACCCTCAAAAACAGATGGGATGACGATCATTCCAAATGAGCTGGACGTGTGCCATCTTTCGGCCGAATTTCAATTGCGTCATGGTCAAACCTTCCAATGAATCAGACGTTCTTGTTCAGGTCAGGAACATAATCGATTTGGGCATGTCTTGTTTTAGGAGGCCCCTCGGTTTTCCTCCTGGTTTGGTGGCCCCCCCCCCCCAAAAAAAAACACACACACACACATCCCATACTCAAGGGGATCCTCCGACTTTGCGACGCCAGTGGATCCATGTCCCGCGCTATCAGATCCGACCTTCCGCAGTGGCGGCGGCCAGCATGGTGCGCTTGGTGCCCATGGGGGGCTTGGCGAACCACTGCTGCCACTGGCTACTCTCAGGGTCGAAGACCTGCGAGCGCGCGCACTCGCTTCGAGTGTGGTGGAAAGCTTGGTGGGTAGCCAGGTAGGGGAGACAAGTGGGTTTGGTCTTTTTCTGTTTTTGCTTCTTCTTTTTTGGGGGGGGACCCTCAAAATGGCTTCGGTGTTCCTTTTGGTGTCCATTGAAAACCACCAAAACAACCGGCACCCAAAAAGAAAGGGACCCTCGCAGGGCTGATTGAGAGGGCACAAACTCCACTCCTCCAGTAAGATCTTATCCTCTCTATGGGGCCAAAGGGCATCTTGCCAAGCTCGGAATAACAGGGATCCGGATGCATGAAAAACACCAAAAAAAAACATCGCAACTTGCAAATGGCAAGTTGTGTCGAACTTTATGGTGGTGTTGAAAATGCCACATGAATGTCAAACTCTTTTTTCAAATTCGTTGCCAGCAACATTTGGAGATCTCTTTTTGGAGCCCTGAACCTGACACCTGGCGTAGGCCTGGCTCGCGAGAACGCCCCGAGGCCTCGAAGGTGTTCAGGGTCCGCCCGTCCGCGCTGCCGCCCAGCACGTAGATCTTGCCCTATGGGCTCGGCCAAAAGGAACCACACAAAAAAAGTGGAAGGAGAAAAAAAGGAGAAAAAACATGGAATTGTTTTAATTATTTGTTTAAAGAAGAAAAACAAGGGGGCCAGGGGGGCCAAGGCTCATTGTGGCCGATTGTGGCCGACTCTGGCGGCGTTGTGATATATCAAAGTGGCTGATTCGCATGACCACCTTTGTCACTGAGAAGACTGGATTGTGTTGTGTTCCTTCTTCTTCCTTCTCTTTTTCTTTTAGGGGGGGGGTGGTGGCATCAAAGAACCAAAAGCCAAGGATAAGCCGTAGCCGCGAAGGTCCATTTTTCACGAAGCCTCGCTAGGTTCATGGGAGGATTCCGCTACAAAGAATGGACGGGCCTTTGTTGTTCCATTTCAAGAAGAGATTCTTATATGGTTTTCGCTCAGGTCCTTAAAGAAATGCAAATGTTCGGAGGTTCCCTGAACAGTTGAATACATTCCCTTCAGATGCGTGCCTTATTTGCCCACACGTTTTGCCTCGCTTGGCGCTCAGTAGGAATCTTTGGGTCATAGGCCTGGATATATTTTCTGATTTTCCTGGACAACTAGCAAAGAATGGCAGGGACACTTTGACTTCAAAATTGTAGTTTTTCTTTAGGTTTCCCTTTAAGGCCACAACAAAGGGAGTTCGCTCAAAAACAGACACGCCCATATGTTGTTGTTTGGTGGTTTTTAACATTACCTTTTGGGCTGAACTAAGGGAGTTTCCTTTTGGTGGGGTGATGTTAGGACTTGACAGGCGACAGGGGGGTCAGAATCAAAGATGCCAACCCTTTTTGGTTGTTTGGTTCCGTGTGGCTACGCATTTTGTCCAAGCCTGGTCAGGGCCTTCGGTAGGTTTCACCCATGACGTAGGTGCTTCACCTGGAAGACTCTTGACCCTTATTTTTCTTCTAGTATTCGGGATTTGGAACAAGGCGAACTCAAGAGGAACCCACGAACCCCCTTTGCAAATTGAGGGGGAAACATGGACAGTTACAGACTATGTTGCAATTACCTTCTTTCAGGGTATGACTTCTGGTTGGCTGCAAAGCTGACTAGTGTCCATGGCGGAAATCGATTCCCGTCAATCCACAGGGGAGAAAAAGTATCGTATTGTGCGTTGGTGTTCGACCTGGCGGTCGTGTCAAAGGAATGAGGCCGTTCAGATTTTGAGGCTTGCCTTCTTGTTGACCCATGCTTGACCACCTCTCAACGCACAACATCAAAAAACGCGGGGGGAGGGGGGGGGGGGGGGGGCGAAGGGGGGGGGAGGCAATCAACGGCCGTGGCTTCCACCCCTCCCCCCGGAGGGCTTCAGCATCTTGCCTCGAGCTCGCAGGCGCTGGCGTAGCAGCGCCGCGCCAGCATCGGCGGGAGCTGGCGCCACTCCCCCCGGCCCTCCTGGCAAAGCACGGCTGTGGCACATTCTCAAAGCAGCATGGTTCGGCAGGTAAGTGGGGAACAGCCATGGCCATAATGTTCCTTTTAAGGGGGCATGCGTCATGAAAGTGGGTAGTAGCCATGGCTAGAACCCACTTCCCAGGGCTAGAAGTCTGCTATGAACAGGCCAACCAACCACTTACTAAGTACCCTGCCCCTTTAAATTAAGATTGGCGAGTGGATGAGCTGGACACAACGCCGACATTCCTTCCTCGTTGTTGTTGGTGGTCCTTTCCAAGCCAAACAGGGTCCATCGTCAGCAATCGGGCGACTTCCCAGCCAGCCTGTTCATAGGGGGAATTCCTTACGGCAGTGCAAACTTTCCACCTGGGAAGACCTTGCCATTTGGAAAGAGATCGCCCTGCACAATGCCATGCGTTGCCCAAGTCAACTTCTGAGCCTTTTCTTTCGCCTTTTGAATCCTCCCCACCGGTGAACATGCATTTTGGGCTCCGGCGGGTGGCATGGTCGAGCCGCCCCCCTCCCCCCCCCCGCACCCCCCCCTTCACCCCGCAGAACAGGAGCAAGCATCAAATGCCAAGATGAGACATGAGGGCGACGTCATCTCGCCCGATCTGTGGCCACGTCAACAAATTTGGTGTCTCTCCGAGCGTACCCTTCAAGCCAAGGGAAGCCACCCAGCCAGATCTTGAAGGCCACCCTTCAAAACCCAAAGGAGCATCTTCTTGCTGGTGCTCCGGGAATGGCCCAGCCAGTGAACCGGTCTTGGGGATTCCCCTTCTTGGACACCTCCCGTATGAGTGAAAAAGTGAAAGCCGGCTGTGGGGCTTCCCAAAAGCAAGGGCAACCCAAAAATCGGAACATGCATGGGTCCATTCCCAGGGCCGCTCCATGCCGCACGCCGCCGATCCAAGCGACCCCCCCCCCGGACCCCCCCCCTCGGCCTCAGCCACCCGGTCGCCCGCCTCGGCCCGGAAGCCCTCCGCCAGCTTGAGCGGGGACTCCCCGTCGTGGCCCCCGAAGAGGTACGCCTCGCTTCGGCCGGCGACACGTCCGGAAACGTCTTCCGGACACGTCCGCCGGAGGCGGACGAAGGCGCGCGGCGCCGAAAGGAAAAAGCAAAAAAGACGCGCGCCCCGGGAGTCGCGCTCTCTTTTTCCTGCATGTGTTGTGGATTGGGCTTGGGAAGGGGAATGCGGTGAGAACACAAATCATGTCCGCTGCGTCCAATTCAGGAAACCCTGGGTTGAGCTGGCATCCCATGTCGGAAGAGATGCTCTACTTTCGGAGGACACCCCCCCCAATTCATCCAACTGGTCTACATCCCCAGGTCACTCCGGCCCCGTCCAGGAAGCCCTTGTATTCCCCACAAGCCCGCGATGTGCCCAGCAGTCCTGTTGCAGTTGGTTCGCCTTTAGGGCTCAAAGCCTTAAGGGGGCCAAAGCTCTCCCCCAGCCCTTGCCCAAGCCTAGTGCTTTGGGGGCATCTGCTTTGTCGGCGAGACCTACCAAAACGAAACCAGCGACCAAAAACTTGCGAAAAGCATGCAACAGATTGAGATACATAGAACATCTAAGAGGCGTGCATGTGCAGAAGACGCTGCACACCAAAGCAACCCAACACACATCAAGCAGAGCTTGGCCAAACATAACCCACGCGAGGCAAAGCAAGGAGCAACGCCAATGATTATGAGTCACGGGAAAAGGGGCTGCCACATAGGCCTCGGACCTCGCCTCCTCCCCATGCACGCTGCAGGTCAGCCCGGTGCGGCCGGGGTCGATTTCCAGCAGCTTCTTCAGAGCCATCGCTGCGAGTCCGGCGGAAGCCCCCTGTCTTCGAGCCGCAAAGGGCGGTAACCAAGCCGCATTTGCGAGCGAGCCCGTGGGGATTGCAACCCATGGAATGAGTTCAACTTGACCCACCTGCCACCAGTGAGAGCCCGCTTTCCACAAAGTCTTATACTAACCAAAATTCACCTGCCTGAGTAAAGGAAATCCCCGAGGTAAGAACATTCATCATCCTTCGTCTTGCGACAAGTTCCTCGCCACTCCACATCAAGCAGGGTCCATTAAAGTGGCATCCTCAGTGGTTTGAAGGGACCCCCTCGGATCCCCGAACGGGGATGAGGTGCCCGTTTTCAGGTTGGTAACTCCGACACCGTTTTGGGGGCCAAAGTCCTACTGCGACACACAAACACAAAAACACACAAACCAAACCAATCCAATCCAATCCAACCCAACCCAGCCCAGCCCAACCCACCAACCATAGAGACAAGCAAACAAACAAACCAACAAACAAAGACACAAACTAAACAAGCTAGACAAACAAAACAGAACAAAACACAACAAAACAAACAAGCATGCAAACAAACCAACAAACAAATCAAAACAAAACAAAAACAAAAACAAGCAAGCAAGCAAGCAAGCAAACAAACAAGCAAACAAGCAAACAAGCAAACAAGCAACAAACAAACAAACAAACAAACAAACAAACAAACAAACAAACAAGCAAACAAACACACAAACACACAAACAAAACGGAAACAAAACGCAAACAAAACGAAACAAAACTGAACAAAAAACACAACAAAACAAACCAACCAAATTTCACCGACCAAGCAAATCAAAACAAAATCAACCGAAAACAAACCAGCAAAACCTGGCCACTCGAGGCCGTCCACTTCTCGGGCGTCCCCGCGTGGAGCGGTTCCCATCGGAGCCCAGGGCGGCCCAGCGGCTCTCCTCCGCGAGCTCCGAGGAGCCGAAGGCAACGCCGCCCTCCAGCCGGGCGCCGCGGCCTGCGGACGGGGTCAAAGGCCGTGCACGCCCCGTTGAGGAACCCACGCCATATTTTTTTTTGGAGTAGCCTCGAGGTTTTTCCACGGGAAAACAAACACCCAAAAGGAAAAAACAGATGTTGGTCCAGGCGTGTGGCGGCTTTCGGTTTGGGGGAGTTTATAGGGGAATCACGGCTTTTTGGGAGTTGGTACCGTTTATTTGGGTGGGGTACCTGAGAAGAATTCTTCTCTCGAAGGGCCCCGTGTCAGGTGGCAAGTGAAACCTTGTATTTCCAGGCCCCACAAGGGGCAAATGGGTGCAAAGGGAAACTAAAAAAGAAAAACTTGTTTGGGTCCAAGCGTAAAATCTGGTGTGAAACTCACTTCCTGAGTGGGGTGGTCAAAGAAAGCAACCAAACTTTGTGTATGGCACTGATATGGTTTGCCTAAAAAGTGGCACAAGTCCAGGAACTCAGCAAGTGAGAAATGGTCTACCCAAACCAATGTAAAGAATTCTGGTTGGGGCTGTCCAAGGCTTTGATTGTGGCTCAGATAGGCAGGTTTGGTGTGGGATGGGGGATCGGGGCTGTATTTGTGAGCCGGCTGGCCCACTGGCCGTTGCAAACAGAAAAGGTTTCTCAACAAATCTGTTTGGGCCCATACGACAAAATGGATGCAGGAGAAAACCAAAAAAAAAAAAAAAACAAGATTACGGCTGGGAAAACAAGGCCCGCCAGCCGCAAGGCCGCCTGCCATGTGTCCTCCTTCCCGCCTCCGGCGCATTCGGGGCTGCTGTGAAAGGACAGCTCAAAGACCCGCCAGGCCCCTGAGGATGAAATTTTAAAAAAAAAGATGCTACGCGGCGTCCATTCATGCACCAAAAGGGCCAAACCCCCAGGTGCATAACCTCCAGACAAAAGAAATACCTGATTCAGGATATAGTACACTCGAGACTGAAAATCCCCCCAGTTGACTTCTCAGGGGCGGGGGGAATGCACAAACCCTTTACCCTTTTTAAACAATCATGGGAGTGGACAGGGGCTCTTTTCAAGAGGCAAGATTCTTGGAAAGAGGGTGTAGTGTGGTTGCACAACCCAATAACCCGTTTTCCCTGGGGGTAGTGCGGAGCAAAAGCCCTACATTGGTGTGAGGCGGTGGGCCCGGAGAGACAAATCACTTTTATCATATTGTCTTCTCTCTCTCTCTCTCTCTCTCTCGTGCCATCGGACTCTGTCCCACTGCGGGGCTCTGGGAGCATTGCCAGAACTCACGCTGACCGTTTCAAGAGCTTGCACATTCCAGCTGGTGGTCTCGGAGCAACCTGCCCGCTCCCAAAGCCCGTTGACTTGCCACAGAAAGAAAGGCTTGCAGAGGCTTCACAACACAAAGAACCCAACCCTTGCCAATAGAGCTCAAACACAATCTAGCTACATACATCTGCACAACCCTTGGTATGGTTGCACAACAATTTTTATTGTTATTTTTTTTTTTTGGGGGGGGGTTGTGCAGGGGGGTTGTGCAGCCCCCTACTACAAATGACCAGACCCCCCCCCCCAAAAAAAAAAAAAGAAGAAAAAAAACGACCCCCAAAAAACTTGATCCAAGAACAGTGAAGACGGTTTTGGTTTTGGGACACCCCGCCCGGCAAGAACTCGGTGCTCACCACGCGGTAAGCAGAGCGTACGCCTGGCGAAGGAAGGAAGCGGATAGGAGAAAGTGGCTTGGTTTGGTAGGAGGGGCCCTTCTTCTTTGTAGCTTGGAGCCTGGTGGTTCGGAGCACGGTTGGCCAAAAGCCAGGAAACCACCAATCCAAACCACCAACTATGCATCCGTCCGGGGAATTCCTTCAGGGAAAAAAACAAAACGGGGATCCACCTGGTGTCGGTCGGATCTCTTGCTTTTCCCTGGCCCGCCCACAACTCCCGCCGCTCGGTCCATGTTTGGCTCCCCCCTCTCGCTGCGCGCAAACATCAGCAGCAAGGGCCCACTGTACGGGCCGACTTTGGCTGCAAAGGCCGAGGGGCCAATCGAAGGTTGTCATGTTCCCCGGATTAGACCCCGGAAATGGATTCGTTCGGGCCGAAGTCGCCCGAAGAAACTATGCCTCCCTTTTGCTAAACAGGCATCGAGGAGGGGGGGGCTATGAACGGGCACACCCATTCACTGGGTACATGACGGAAAGTTCAAGAGAACCCACGGCACCCGCGAATTCCCATCTAAAAATGGCATGGCTAGCCGCAGCCCTCCAAATGCCATGGCTGGCAGGTCCAACTCTGTTCCACGCCCCTTTTGAGTATCAAACATAGGGTTCAAACCAACCCCTCCCCCATTGCAAGCTGTTCAAACAACATGGGTTGGAACATGTTTGAAGGTTGGCCCAACCATGGCTTTAGGCACATGGGCGGGCCATTTTTTAGGGGACCCCGGAAAAGGTGCTCCTTTTGATTCCCCTTGAAAACCAACCAAAAGGGGGGTACCCTCAACAACAATACCCCCCGACATGTTGAACAATGTCAATTAAATCCGAGATTTCCTTTCTTTTCCTCGGACCATGTGCAACACCAAGCCTTCATGCGTGTCCCAGTCTCAGTCTGCCCAGCCAAATGTCCAAAGCGATTGTTCAGCCGATTCAACCAGCGCAGGCCAGTTTTCAGCAGCCCTATATTTGCAGCCCACGCATCCCCATGCGAGATACGGGCTGGAGCGGATCAGGGCTGATCCGCTTCCCGCGTCCTGCGCAGCCAAGAAGCCTACTTTGTCACAGTCAGGAAGTTCCAAGGTCTCAAACAACAAAAAACGCAACCACGCAAATTCATTGATCCGTCCAGAAGAAAGATCTCTGTTGAATAAACTGAACTGGGGTACCTTCGGGCCGCAGCTGCTCGCCTTTTGGGGTCAATGAACCAAGGGGAAACAAAGTCAAAGAAACCTGCGAACCAGGAAACTCTCAAGGAAATCCAACTTGATCTTCATGGGTGTGTGCCAAATGAATGTAGCAAATCCTGTGCTGGGTTCATTACGTTACCATTCTCAAAGTCGCCCAAGTGGTAGGTCAAAGGGGACTTTGCGAAAACTTGTTCAACCCGTGTTTTGTGGTGGTTCGAAAGGGAAACCACAAGGAAAGAGAAAAAAACATTTTTCGCAGAAATCCCCCCTTTAAAGGCCAAGGGTTTGGGACAGCCCCCTTTCTAAACCCGCCCCCTTTCTAATCCGGGGAGTCCTGCGCAGCGCGTTCCGGAATTTCAGGATGTGGCCCTTCTTGGCGCCCACCAGCGTCAGCATCTCGTCGATGTCCCGAGCATCCCCCTCCAGCAGGTCCTGCAGGTCCTGGCAATTCCCGATGTCTGGCTTGACTCGACCAGGGGTTGAAATCCCCAAAGTGTTTGGTTAAAAAAAAAAACTGTAAGATCCCGGCAAAAACGAAATGACACCCTAAGCAAACGGAAAATGCAGCAGGAAGGCAGTCCAAAGACAAACCCCGGGCTCCTCGTAGCCCTCGCCCTGCACAGCCGCAGCGTACTCCTCGAGGCCCTGCTCTTGGAGCCACCTGCGATGGTTCTGGGCCGTTCCCTATTTCCGAGAAAGCCGCGAAAACCGAGAACATCTTCCCCTACCCTCCAAAGGAAAAGCATGAAAGTTCACAAGAAGCCCTTCCAAGAGGACAAGGACAGTAGTCCTTCTATGCAAAGGGCCAAATGTTCAATTTGATATCCTTAAAAGGTTTCCATCGGTGCACTCACAGTTGTCCAAAAAACCTAGGGTACTCCAAAAACCTTTTCGGGAGACTCTGATTTAAAAGCAAGTGACCTGGATAGATATCAGGTGGCATCAACCGCAAGCTCCGGGATCTTTCCGGACCCCGCCCGCTCGCCACTGCGAACCCCTCATGAAACTCTCTCTGAGTCCCTCGGAGAATCCCTCGGACTCCCTCGCGCCCGGAACCTTGCCCCGCAAAGGAGGGAGGAAAAAAAGAAAAAAAGAAGAAGAAGGAAGAAAAAACCAGAACCTCCTGGACCCTCTGGAACCCTCCGCTGCAACCTTCCAAACCCAGCTCCGCAAAGCGCGAAGCACCCGAGCGCTTCGCGCGCGCTCTCTTGAGCTTGGAAAGGCAAATTTGACGCGGGCGCATAGAACACATCGCCTGTATAGATCCGAAAATGAACGGATACACAGACAAGACTGCATCATTGTACGTAAAGGAAGTGGGCGCTGCCAAAATGCTACACTGTCTATATATATATATATATATGTATATATATATATATATCCGCCGACATTGTTCGGCGTGTCGGATACTTACTAGAGGATAGAGGATAACCCCTCCCCACCCCGTCAAATACGTAGGTTTTACAGTGATAGTTCCGCAAAAGCGTGGTTTCAGGGAGCGATGTGGGTAAAAAAGGGGTCCCAGGCTCGATTCCCCCTGCCGGCTCCCCCTGCCGGCTTGTTTTGCTGGCTTGGGGCTTTACTCATCCGCTTTTCTGAAAATCAGAAACTCTGTGTTCTTAGATACGTAACGCAGCAACTAAACAGGTGGCTTTTTGAATACTGGGGAGCACAGGGGAAGTGCAAGGATACATACATACATTTAAAGCATGTATTGATTGCACATGTATTATTATTAACATTACCTTACATTCACATTACATTCCATTACATTACACTTACCACTTCCTACAATACATAACTCCATACATACACCAAACCTACTTCCATAATTACATACATTCCATTACGATCACATACCCCCTACTATGCATCTACAACATTCCATTACAATACATTCCATTACATAACCAATACCTTACATACAAATTACCTCATTACATAACCTTACTTTACATTTACATCGCATTACCATTTACATTAATCATAATACATTCCATACATTACATTACATTTCCCATCCTAATACATACATTACAAACATACTTCATCTTACATAACATACAAACATAATGCAAGCATGCATGCATACATACATACATACAGTACATCATCCTACATACGTCCATCACATTCCAAACACTACTGCATAATACATCCATCACATCCATTACCCTGCGTACGTTTGCGTACATGTCGTTACATGCGTACATACATACATACATACATACATACATACATACATACATACATACATACATACATACATACATACATACATACATACATACATACATACATACATACATACATACATACATACATACATACATACATACATACATTACATACATTACATACATTACATACATTACATACATTACATACATTACATACACACATACATTACATACATTACATACATTACATACATTACATACATTACATACATTACATACACACACACATTATACATACATACATTACATCACATACATACATACATACATACATACATACATACATACATACATACATACATACATACATACATACATACATACATACATACATACATACATACATACATTACATTACATTATACATTACATACATACATACATACATACATACATACATACATACATACATACATACATACATCACATACATACATACATACATACATACATACATACATACATACATACATACATTGCATACATACATACATACATACATACATACATACATACATACATACATACATACATACATACATACATACATTACACATACATACATACATACATTACATACATACATACATACATTCACATAAATCATACATACAATACATACATGACTTACTTACTTTACATTACATTACGGACGTTGATTTTATTTTTATTTTTATAAGTGCTTTTTTGCATTACATTGCCTTACAATTACATACGAGTAACATACATACATACATTACATACATAAACAACAAACAAACAAACAAACATATCATACATAACTTACCTTAATACATACTAACATAATATACATTACATTCATACATTACATACATTATACGTACATACATACATACATACATTACATTACATACTACATACATACATGCATGCATGCATACATACATACATACATACAGTACATACATACATACATACGTACATAAATACATACATACATGCATACATACACACATACATACATACATACATACATACATTACATACATACATACAAACATTACATACATTACATTACATTACATTACATTACATTTCATTTCATTACATTACGTACATACATACATGCCTACATACATTACTTTACATTACGTTACACTGAATTACATACATACATACATACATTGCATACATACATACATGCATGCATGCATACATACATTACATACATACATACATACATACATACATGCATACATACATACATACATGCGTACATGCGTACATGCGTACATACGTACATACATACATACATACATACATACATTACATACATACATACGTACATACATACATTACCTGCATTAGATTACTTACTTACTTACTTACTTACATACATACATACATACATTACATACATGCATACATTACATACATACATACATAGATACATACATGCATATATACATGCATACATACATACGAGAGAGGGAGATTGGGGAGTGAGAGGCTTGGGAGGGAGAGAGGACGACAGAACACACAAGGGAGACAAGGGAAAGAGGAAGAAGGAGAAAAGGAAGAGGACAATGTCCGGACTGAGCCGGAGGCTCTAAAGTATATATGTGTGTGTGTGCGTTTATATGTGTGCAATATATATATATATATATGGTAACCCCCCCCTTCTAGACTTAAATTCTAGCATCGGTACTTAGTGCAATCCAGGATGTGCTAGCGCGTGCTAGCACGTCCTGGATTGAAGATTGAAGATTGAAGACTCTCAGACTACTTGTTCTGGAAATCTTCAATCCGTCCTTCGGACTAACTGGTATGTGCTAGCACGTGCTAGCACACCCTGGATTGAAGATTGAACATTGAAGATTCTCTGACAACTCTCCCTGGGATTCTTCAATCTTCAATCTTCAATCCAGGATGTGCTAGCACGTGCTAGCACATACCAGTTTGTCCTCAGGATGGATGGAAGATTTCCAGAACAAGTGGTCTGAGAATCTTCAATCTTCAATCTTCAATCCAGGATGTGCTAGCACGTGCTAGCACGTGCTAGCACATCCCGGATTACTCTAACTACATATTTGGAGAATTCCAGAAAGAGTTGTCAGAGACTCTTGAATCTCCCGTCCAGATCCTGGATTGCCTAAAGTGCGGATTTGAAGAATCCAAAAGGCAGACCGGGAGCGCACGTTGTCAGAATCAAAATGTGGATGTGCACGTGCACTGCCTGCAATTGGCCAGGGGGAAAAATGTTGCTGACACCTTTACATTTTTTTGTGGACTTGAGGGCTGGCCAGGATGGAAGATTCTCAAATAGAAAATCTGGTAGATCTTCAATCTTCAATGCAGGGGGCGAAACCTTGATGAGTCTAGAAGAACAAACTGTCAAGTTTTTGGGGGACCAGGATTGAGTACATTCTAAACATATGTTTGTGGAATCTTGTATATTCGATGTTCGATCCAGGGCAACACGATCTGAGCAAAAGCTAAAACACTGCGTTTTACAGCATTTATGCAAAGAATAGGATCTATGATTGAAAACACGGTCATTGCCTTGGCTCAGTTCTTGCTTGGTTCAAACCACATGGAGTTCGAAGGACAATAACCCTTTCAAAATTGAGTTTGATTCCAATTCATTTGGCCATGACAATAGCTATCTTCTCCAGTTGATTTTTGAAATGCACAAGAAACTGCAAACGAGAAAACTTGAATTTGGGTTGAACTCGAAAGCCTTTTTTTAACTGGATATTGTTCCCTTACTTGAATTTCAATGGTTGTTAGTGGCGATGATGAAACCAACTTAGACAAGCAACACACACACACACGTGGGATAGTTGCTTTGCAACATATGTTTCAATTAGACTGAACTAGCATGTCAGGAATTATGCACAACACTCGAGTTAACATGTAAATGCAACTGCGCAAGGACATGAACTAGGAATGAGTTCCTTTTCCCCGAGTTGATGTTTTGCTGAAATTCGCTGCCAAACAAAAATAATAAACACCAAATAATAGGGCTGCTACAGGCGCGTTGAAGCTGCCAAAACATACTTTGCGCACTACTCCTGTACTGAACAGTTGTTTTTTGAGCTGGAGCTGCCACATTGCACTTTGCATACTCCAATGTGACTTTCAGTGCACTTCGCGCACGCCAATGTGACGGTCACACAGCTCGCAACTCCTAATCAACGTTGAGCTTAACTTCTGCTTGGTTAGAATTTGCATGGAGTTGAGTGTCCAGTTCATTTCAGAGTCTCAAGGCGTTTGTTACCCCCAGTCCGGCCAAAAACCCTCAGTTCTGTCCAAAAACCTGAGTATTTCAAGGGGGGGTAGTATATATACATATATATAGCCCGGCTACCGCACGCGGTTGAGAGGAGCGCGTATCAGCCCATACTTACTGGTTCATACAAGGGTAGGTGGGCTAGGTTGTTTTTGGCTGTATGCCCCTCCAACCGAAAAAGCGGAGCCCTGTCCCTCCTCAAGAGCCGTTCGGGCCCTGTAGCCGGCGGCGGCGGCGGCGGCGGAGCGAGCACCTCCGACGTCTCCTGGGCAAGACTACTGGGGTCACTGCGGGGTAGTTGCAAAATCCATGTCTCAACCACTTTGAAACCATGGGAACCATTGAATTGTTGGTATTTACGTTGGGGACTCGAATCAAAAACCAGGGCTGGAATGATTCAGAAGGCTTCTGACATTCGAGTCCCCAACCGGAAATACCAACAAACGTTGTGGCTTCAACCATGGTTTCAAAGTGGTGCGACATGGATTTCTCAGCCATCCACCGTATTTTGACTGCTCGGCGAGAGAAACTGGGCGGGGTGCAGTCCCCGTAACCTACAGCTGAGTGAGTGAGTTTGATAGTGGTGAATCATGCGGCCTGAACTGTGCATGAACAAAATCCACTCCGCACCACTGGGTGTGGACGAAAATCTATGAATAATTACTCTTTGATGAGCCAACTGGCGCAAAATGTTGTCCACAGCATGTGCTCGTTCTCGGGGTCGCTGTACGCCAACCACAAAAGGGGGAGGGGGGCTACGAAGCTTCATTTCAAATTGCGTGGAGGTCCTCCGGGCTTGCCTCAAAGAAAGGAGCTTCTTCCATCCAGGGCCAACCGGACCTTCGCAAAGCACCACAAAGCGCCAACGAAGAAATCCTGGTTGGATTCTCCCGAGAGCCAACAAGGGGTTCAGAGGGTCCATGGGAAACGGAGAAAGACCACAATCCAGTGTTTGTGGGAATCTTGGTGGCCTCAGAACGGGGAAAGGAATGGAATGGAACGGCCACAACCCAAAAAAAGCAGCCTTGTGATTTAAAGGGACTGGTGTCCGAGTCTCAAACAAACCCCCGACACATGGAAGGCAAAATAAAAAAACTACCGTTCGTGCCTCGAAATGCAAACCTGCAGTTGTTCAAACAAAAATCCCAGAACGGGACCGTCCCGCATCCCACTCCTTCGTGGACTGCGGGGCCATTTTTGGCGCCAACTGGGCCACCGGTGCCGGGGGCATTTGCGGAGGCGGCGGCTGCCAGCCGCAGGCATTGCACTGGACGGAGCCCAGGTGGTTGATCAAAGTGCACCTCTGGCACTGCCACCCGTCGATCAGCGTGTCCCTGGCCGAGGTGAGAAAAAATGGTGCCCGAACGGGTCGAGCCCGGAGCTTTGTTTTTGTTGGGAGAGGTTGGCTGGTGGACTTTCCGAATCAAAGGTTTCAGTAGCGGGGGTTGAAACGGCCGAGAATTCCCTCTTAAAGGAAGCCCGTGGGCGGCAAACATAAAGCTTGACCCTCTTTTTTGGTCAACCAACTCAAGAAGTGAGGAGGGTTGTTGCGGCAAGAGGGCCGTTAACAACTTGGACCTTTTGTATCTTTTCGGGGAAGCAAGCCCTTGGAACAGAGGAAACATCGACCCTTCATTTCAAGTCCAAAGGCTGGTGTTCGATTCCAAGCCTGTGGAAATCGACCTGGCTATCAATTACGAACGCCAGCCGCGACCGGGCACTCCCCACTCATGGCAGCGACTTTCGCCCGGCCTGAAATTCTCCACACGGCCGTCGCCGCCCGGGATGTCCCCGGCCTGCAGGGCCGAAGCGCGCAAATGTGAGGAGAAGGGCGGGGCTCTACGTACCTTCCCACCGATCTCGTGGAACCCACCAGGTCCCTGGAAGATGTTCCCCCAAATCCCGCAACATCTAAGCCATGTTGACCCTTGATTAAGAGCAGTTATTGGAGGGGGTTGGATTCCTTCTTTGCCGGGGCAGCGGTCTAAGTGGCTAGCCGCCTAGATTCTATAGATCATAGCACGCTTTGCAAGCCACCCAGTTGCCCAACTGGAGCTCGCCAGACTGCAAGTGGTTGCCGTACGTCAACCACAACAGTAGAACAAATACCAGCTCCCACGAACATGGAGTTCACAGACAGTCCCAGCAGGAAATTGTCTTCCCGAACCCCCCCCTCCCCAGAGAAGTTCGTTCCGTGTACCTGCAAACTAGCCACGGGACGCAAAGGAGACGGGAGATGAGTCGCGAGCTCGGGCGGAAACAGGGTTTTGGGAGTGAACCTAGGGATTCCCTTCAAGAGGGAATGGCTCATGCTCATTGCATCCTCTGAGAACCAGCAAGGCTTTGTTTGGGCAGGATCAAACCAAAACCCCTCCCGCACCTCTCGGAGCGGCTCAAGAGAGGCGGGCGGAGCCGCACGCGCCGGAGCCACAGGAGCCGCAGGAGCCGCAGGCGGTGTTGGAGCCGGCCTGCAACTCGACGCCAACTTTGGATACGCCGCATATGCGCATGCAAACGGGTCCTGTCTTTGTTGAGTGACCCGTTTTGGGGTGGTGCTGAAGGGAAAGGAATCGGGCAACCACCCATTTTGCAGGGGTCCCAAGAAACCCAACGTAAGGGAAGGCACTCAAACCTTCGGCTTGTCCATAACGCTGCCCGCCTGTCCGCCTCCACACGGTGTGCGCGCGCGGCGGAGCCCCAAGCGGCCACCCGTGCCGTGCGGAACCGCGTCAGCAGTTCGTGGCCGCCTCGGGCCGCTCCCAACCCTCGCCTACCAGAGACCCCAAGCATGCCAGACTGGAAGCTGAGGGCCAACATGTCCCAATTGGGTCACGTTGGTGGGAAAAGAGATCGAACTTGATGTTTGCCATTGAATCGGCCTTCCCAAAAGGAAGTCCAAACACTAGCCGAGCGAGCCTGCCCGATGAAATTGGGGGGACGGGTGCTCGGAGTTGGCACCCAGAACTCGACGAGACCTCAAAAGTAAGAAAAACAAAAACGACAAATTAACCCAACCAAACCACACCAAGCCAAGCCAGCTCAACCAAAAAACAGCAACCAAACTGAAAACACTACGTAAAAACAAACAAAACAGGATATCCCACAGCTTTGGGCCAACCTTTTGCACATTTCACCCGCCAAACTACTTCAACCACCTCCTTCTTGCCTTCTTCTCCCTGAAACTCCACCTTCCCCCCCCCCACAACCGCACCACTCTGAAAAGAAAAAAAGTATCTCTCCCCTCCCCTCCCCTTGCCCCACCCTGATCTCTCCCGGGCGCTGAGCTCGAAGCGCATCTGCCCCAGCTCCTCCCCTCCCTGGTACAACGCCGCCTCCCAGCCGCCCGCGCCGCCCGCGCCGCCCCGCGCGAGGAAGCCCACCCGCCCGCAGAGGTCCCGGAACTGGAGCTCCCCGCCGGCCACCTCGGCGGCCCGGCCCGCGGAACAGGGGGAAAAGCACACCTCTGGGCGTGGCCTGCGCTACGAAAATAACATGTTGAAAGGAAAAAGAGGAAGAAGAAGAAAACAAGGCCGGCGCGGGCCTCGCTGCGAAGCGCGAAAAATGGACAAAATGGAGGCGGCCTCCCTGGCTGAGCCGAAAAAAAGGCGCGCCCTTGAAGAGGGAAACGAAGGAGAACCTGCTGGCTTGGTCATCCCGGAGCCCAAGATCCCCCCCCTCACGTGAAATGGAGATAAAGTGAAAGGAGGCAAACATATCCTTGACCCGGACTTAGGGTGGTCAGAACATGGAGTTGTTGGGATTCGGTGCTTAAAAATCGCCCGCCACAGGTGGCCTTTTGGAAAAATAGATGGGTTTCCCTGGTAAATGGGGCATAAGCCCCATCTAAGCCAGGAATCGCCGATCGCCCTCTATTTTTTAAGCCGACCAACCAAAAAGGACGCCCCAGCCATGCCAGCCCTACCTGCAACCCTCTGACTCTGCCGGGCGACTCGTCGGATTTCGAACTCGGAGGCTTCGGAGCGCCAGGGTCCCACCAGCTGACCCGAGCGATCACCCGACGCCGCCGCCGCTGCTACGCCTCGGTTTGCTCCCGACGCCGCCTCATCCCAGACCTGGGCTGAACTCAACTCCAAAGCTGCGAGCCCAACAAAACACTCCACCAGAGGCGACACAAGAAAATGAGCCCCCACTTGAAACTATCTTTGTAAACAATATCCCCCCAAAACCCCCTCAAATCTCAAAAAAATGAAGAAAAAGAAAAGAGAGAAGGCGCGAACGCGAACACCAGTTGATTTGCCACAAGCTGCCCTCGTGTGTTGTTGTCTGCCGCTTCGGTGAGAAAAAAAGCCCAGCCATCCCCCTGTGTCCCGCGCTGCGCGCCTGCCAATGCCTCTCCTTGGCCTCGTTCACCCGCCGGTCCTGCTCCCTGTCCACGCGCTGGCGCGCGGCCAGCGCTCTGAGCCGCTCCTCCTCCTGCGTCCGGGGGGAGGGGGGGGTGGGGGGAAGAGCGGGGGGGGGGGGGGTGGGGGAACTAAAGACCAAACCCCGATTCTTACAAAGATGAGTCAGCCAAATCCAAAAAAAAAGATATGAAGATGAAGTGTTGGCCTGGGAAAATGATCAAACCATCCATCCTTTGGGCGTATAGCTGCAACACCTTTGTATAAGGGACGTGCCCCTTGCCACAATACTTCTATGCCTGACATTCTCATTTGCGGCTGTGCGAAAGCAAATGGCACCATTCCACCGTGTTGGCTCAGAAATCTCTTTGCTTAGGTGGCATGAGGCCTTACCCCGCGAGGTCTGAAGAGCCATAAACTTATCCATCCTGTTTGGGCTTCTAAAAGGAGATACCTATTCGGAGGGACTGAAAAATGGCTACGTTGACCAGAGTTGATTTATACAAAACTTGGGAACTATAAGTTAATATTAATATCTACTGTTGTTCAACGCGGGGAATCTTGTTGTGTGAAAGAGCAATGAGGAATAACCGGGGATTGGGTATCAAGAGCGTGGCGTTCAACGCTAATCTAAAGTAGGATCACCTAAGCAACTTTGGGGATCGCCGCACGCAACGAGGATCGCAACGGAACCCTGGATCACTGGAGCACGCAAGAGTGAGGAAGGGGGGAGGGTTCAGCAGTTGCGCTTGCTCACGACTGCGTGGGCGCGTAACGGTCGCTCTTTCCTGCGTGGGCGGGCTGCGGCGTTGCCCCCAGCGCAAAAAATGTCTTGTGCACTTCGCGAAAAGGCTAGGTCAAAAATTCCACCAAATGGGTGTCTTTCTTGAGGGTACCCTTAGTTCGTAGCTTTGAAGGGAAACCAAAAAGGAAAACCGGCCATTTTGAGAGGTCCAATTCCTGAAAAAAATGCTTTCCATTTCGGTCCTTCAGTTGCGCCTGCCGCTTTTTCTCCTCCTCCGCCGCCCGCTTCTCCTAGGGATCCGAGTCGAATCCAAAGTCGAGTACTCCATCCATCCATCCCCCTCGCTCCCTCCCTCCCTGCCTCCCTGCCTCCCTTTCTCACTCCACTCCTGTCGATTTCAGCTCATCCCAGCACGCCGCAGGGAATCAAGGCGGGGAACTAAGCAACCGTTGCACAAATCAAGCGGAAGCTTTGCGGCGGCCTCACACCCCCCGGGTCCTTGGCCTTTTCGACCCTGGGATCCCGCTCGAGGGCACGCAGGAAATCCTCCCGGGAGCCGGCGCCTCAGGCATCCCACTGAGCGCTGGAGTCTCTTTTGAGTTGGTATTCCTTGAAGGGAATGCAACCAAACGGCTTTCTGCCTGGGATAGAAGGCCTTCACGGGATCGCATCTCTGTTTCCTATCTTGGCTCTTTTCATAGCCATCTTGGGCTTCCTCCCCTTCTGAGCAACTCAAATTGATGTCCCACGTCCCCGTCTTGGCTCCGCTTCCGTTTCGCTTTCGGGGAGGGAGAAAAAAAGAAGAAGAAAAAAGAGAAGGAAAAAAAACGGGGAAGACAAAAACAACGGAGAAGAAAAAGAAGGAAGAGGAAAAAATAGGGGGAAAAGACCAAAAGAGAACTGACCCCAGCGCCGCGGCACCGGTCCCCAGGCGCTGCGCCCCGGCGGAGGCCTTGACGTGGGCCAGGCCCGCCGCCTTCTTGGCCGCCTGGAGCTCCCGGAGCTTCCGCTCCGAGGCCTCCTGATGGGTCGCTCGCTCGCGCGGGCTCGGCGGCTACCAGGCCTTTTTGCCGTTTTGCGTGAGCGCACAGCGTCTGTTCGACGCAGCGATTTTTTGGGGAGGGGGAAAGAAGGAGAAGGCGCCCAAAACAATCAAGTCGGTGTGTCTGTACATGCACTGATGCACAGTCTGCAGGGCAAACTCCAGGCTCGAACCAAAGGATCACCTTCGTCAGCCAGCAAGTACGGATCCCACGACACACACAATGCCTCAAGGAGCTCAACTTCCTGATGTGGCAGCGGGGCGGGCGCGGGCAATCCAGCGCGAGCCCTTGCTGCGTGCACAAGGGAATGAGCCATAGAGTCACGAAGTGCGCCCGGAAAAGCAAAAGGTTCCAAGCGAAGCCCGCGAACTGTTTGACCGAAAGCGTCCTGATGTGTGTCGGCAGGCTTAAAGTCTGCTCTGGCACCAATTTCTTCTTCAATCAACGGCATATCGTAAATCAAGAAGAATGTCGGCGATGGGTTGGGTGCTCCCATCCAGCCTTGCATCAGCTCTATTACACGTATGCCTGGCAGCGACAGCATATGCCGCACCAGATGGACGGCGAACTTGCCTTCTCGGGGCTGGATGGGTGTGCAAGCAAGGCGCTCACCTGACAGTTGTAGCAAGTAAGGAAGACTTCAAATGCAAAATGAAGCAAGTCCGACCCACTCATAACTTGTAAATGCTCCTCCGAAGACAGTGCAAAGTGCCCCCAAGGGTGTTGCCTTGACCTGACGGCTCCACGTGGCT